TTATTTTTACTCCCAAGTACGATTTCTTTCTGATATCCTTTTACAAGTATTCTCAAGCCCTGAATCCTAATTTTCACTGCAAAGGAACTCAACTAGAGAAGTCTGAGGTATACAAGAACTTGCACTTTAAATTTATCACTATTTCCTGCTTGAGTCCAAGAAAAATACCCTAACCTCTTCTACATTACTGCAAGAAACAAAGACCTATTACTATAAAAGCCAAATACATTTGGCTTTCCATAAACAAAACTATTTGTTATAGATTGTATTTAACTCAAAATTAAGGGAGAAAAAGTTGAAGAAACAGAATAATAGTTACTTTCATCCATATGTGGTAGAACTGCCTCACAGTCCAGACATTTGGAATTCAATAAAGTGATACTGCCAAATTATTATAGGCACATCAGTCAGTATTACTGCATTTCTGGCATTACGTGGCAGAGAACATGGTAAATCTCCAGAAAAAACATCTTAATATTTTTTGCTGGAACTGCTGTTGTTGGCTGACCAAATTGTAATTGCAGCCTGCCAATGCAACAAATATCTTCCTACCATAAACAAACAGTCTTCCAGAATATGGGACACAAACTATGGAGAAACTGACTAGTATTAGTAATGACAAGTATACCTCCCAGACAGACGCATGACTGGTATACAGAGAACTTTCCATTATCATTTAGAAAACAGAATCTGATCTGCTTTATATCCTAAACTTTTTTTGTTACATAACATACACGCTAGCTTGAAAAAAAATTAAAACACGTCATTATGTCTCAGTATACAATATGCGTAGATTAGCTATTTCTGGGCAATAGTAAAATGCTGTCAGTAACAATAATAATCTCCAATTGTCAGAGCCTCTGATCAGGCATGCCTGGCTAGGCCAAGTACCTGAGTCATCACACCTGCCCCTGCTCTCTGGCTAATGTGACTGCCCCAGTTCTCTGCAATGGATTGGCTGCTTAAAAGCACCACTCACCCCATATAAACACACCTAGAACCTCAGGCTGCAGGTATGCCCTTATACCGCCTCAGTATGTCCTGGCACTTGGTCCTCACCTCTCCTGGAACTTGGTCCCATGCGCTCCATGCTGCTGACCCAGACCCCAACCCCAACCTGATGCTCTGGTAACCTGTGCCCCCACAAACCCCCAGGTTGCTCCTAGTGGCCTACCACAGGCCTGGCTGCCTACATCCCAGCCAAACCCTTATGCTGACCAACATAGTTATTAAGGCTACAGTTACAAAATAGGTCCATTTCTCCCTCCATTTACCACTGGTATTACATATTTACATAACCCTATATGCCATACTTACTTGAATACAAGATGACCCTTTGTATTATAAAACGAGCCCCTCATCATATAATTGCATACAAGGGAATCTCATCAAATAGATTGTCCAGCATGTGCTAAACAATGGAAACCAATACGAAGTTGATTAAATGCAGCTAACACTGAGCATGACTACAAAACACATGGCCCACATTGGACAAACATGCTGATGGAAAAACCTACCACAAGGATAGGTTAGTACAGCCCATCTGAACAAAATATATGGTAGAGGCCACTAAGCACAGTCCCCCTCACTTCCAAAACTTTTTCAAGTTATGGGAAGCCATGACACTTCATACATTTTGACTTTATCTTCATTCCCACAGCTGAGCTGTGCCTTTCCTTCCCATTTCCAATTAATCCTGTTTCTTCACCAACCTTAAATGCCTCGCAAACATCACCAAACAGGAACCCAAATAGTTCCCCCTGGACACTGCTCCCTTCTGGATCTCCAACTTCTGGCCAGGCCCCAGCCCCTGCCTGTCCCAGCTCCAGCTGGAGCAGAGAGCACAGCCCAGAGAACATGCAGGGCTGCTGGGGAACTCTGGTTTAACTTAAACCAGGAAGGGGTGTGGGACAGAATTTGCATAAACCAGATTGAGCTCAATCAGTTACTACATTCAACCAGTTTCCACCATTTTGAAACTCAGTTATGTGCACTGAACTTATGTTCTGTTACAGGTTTAAACCAGTTTCTGATCACTTAAACCAGTTTATGTGTAACTTTTGTCCCTAGCCCTGGGGTTCACTGCGATAATCTCAGGAGACCTGACATCACCTAGAGTTCTGACAATGAGAAGACTGTTCCATAACCAACTTATTCTCACAAATCAGAGGAATATTTAGTCAGAACAGAAGCCTTTCAGGAAAAAAATTAATTAAAAATGGGGAAACTACCCATACACATGCCTAGCTTGCCAGGTGGCCATTCACCTCCCACACGGAAACTCTCACAGGGAGAATCTCTGATCAGTGTCTTACTTGTCTGCTCTTGGATTGTCTCTCTTTCCTCTTCTTCCTCCCCCTGCCCACCTCCTGCCAGGTCAGGGCTGTCATTTTATACAGTTTTAAACCCTTTGTTTTCTCAGTCCTCTGAACCAGGTCAAATCAGTCTGTGCTTCCTCCCCAGGAGGTTGAAACTTCAGAAAATGTGTTACATGCATTGTTTCAGCATTAATTACTCCCCAAGTGCCTTTAGATCCTGCAGGAACTATTCCCTACCTTACCCTCTAAACCAACAAGCCCACAAAAATACTTACAATATCCATAACCTTAAATATAGCACATTTTTAATATTCTATTATTCTGAAGCATCTGTCACACACTGCACAATGGAGAGTGAGGGGTTGGGTATGGCTGCATGTATCTACACAAATTAGTATGAAAGTAATTTGACCTGGTTTACATTACAGTATGTTGTTAAGGTACAGATTGGTGAGACCAGATGTTCCAGGAGAGGTTGTCAAAGTGGAAGGGAGTAACAGAAGTTCCTATCCCAAGATGGATTCAAATTGCATGGGCTAGAGTTATTTTGGTATTTATAAATGAAAATCAGAAATCAGCTAGAGATATTTTGGTATTTATAAATGCTTTGCCCACTTGGAATAATCCCCAATAGATACTACTTTCTTCTACTCTGTCTACAGCAATATGAAATCAATTGAAAAAACAACAGACATTTAAAATAATTCCCTATGGCAACAACAGGCCTGGTTAAGCCAAGCAGAGGAATCAGTGCTGTGAGCCCCCTACTTGCTTCTCACAACAGAGTTCCCAGCATGAGAAGCAGGCACAGAGCTTTGCCCTGCTGTTCCAGTGCTCTGGAAACAGGAGGCCTGGAGAAGCCCACACTTTCTCCAGATGCGGATCACCTTACTCTGGGGAAGGCACAAGCAGCACGGAAGAGGGGGAGGTTGCAGAATGGATGTCTGCACTCCTCCCTCTCCTGCAATTATTTCTAGCAATGGAAGTTTCCAGGAAATTCTTCTACATGCTAGAAATGAATGTTTGCATATGGCTTTAGATACTGGTCAGTACTACAATAGTATGCGTCTCACAGTCTAATGTATTTATCCTCAAACAAAACATTATCTGATGCAGGGAAATGCTAATACCCATATTTTGCAGGTAAGACACCAAGACACAATGAGACAGGTATAAATATTCTCTTGCCATTTGGTGATACAATTAAGTACCTAGTGGAATTTTCAAATATGCTTAGGTGCCCAGTTACCCCTGATATCAATGGGGGTTTGGCACACAGGAAAATCCTACAGGCATCTACCTGCAGTTTTAAAATACCTAAATCTGGTCCTATCTGACTAGCTCAACATCATCTAGGCAATCTGAAGCAGACATCAATATTAAATGCAGGTTTCTCAAGACCAGGGCCCACACCCTAATAACCAAGAATCCTAGCTCTCAGGTATGTTGAAATGCAAACACACACAGAGCTCTTAATGAGAAGAACTGAACTCAGAGTCCTGGATTTCAAGATAAGGTTTGTGTTCCCAACTGAGTATAGTTTACTATTGTTTCAATAAACTTGGGATACCCAAGCATTAGGATTCATTATATTAATTTATCATCTCATCCTTGCAAGTTTAAATATATCAGTATTTAAAACAAAGTATATATTTAGTTTAAAAACATGTTTCTGAGCAAGGCAGCTTAACTATCATGTTGCTAAAGCACCTAGTATAATGAAACTATATGCCAGCATTTCCCAACCTTTTTCATCCCATGGCACACTTCCATGGCCTCTCCCATCGCATGGCAGACCGGATGAATGCAGAGCGGCGAGGAGAAGAGGGGGTGGCGCATGGCTGGATATAGAGCTGGGGGGTTGCAAATGGATGCGAAGCGCTAGTGGTGTGGGGTGGCAGTGGCAGCACTGGCTGGAGCCCCATCCCACCAGGAGCCATGCCCCCCAAGATCCTGCAGCACACCTGGTTATGTCTGACAGCACACCAGTGTGCCATGGCACACCAGTTGGGAAATGCTGCTATATTCCAAACTCAACTTTAGCTTCTCAATGTCCAAGTGAAAAAAAAAAACAAACTTTGAAATAAAAATTATTAATTGTTCTTCACTTATCAGTGAACCATTTATTGGTATTTAGTGCACTTTTATAGTCTTTGTTTAAAAACAAAACTAAGCATTACTTTGCAAAGACTGAATAAATACAGTGCCTAGGCAAAATATCTAGTATAAAATATTATACTTTCTCTTGGCATAAGTATCAGAAAAAAAAAGGATCAGTTCTGTTTTCCACTACACATTTCCTAGTTTTGTAATTGCAGCATCCCTCATTTGTACAGCTGAAATATCATTGGCTATACTGAATTTGTATCCCTTAATCATATACAAAACCTCTTCCATATTCCGAATGAACGTAGATCACTTTTTTACTTAAGTTTCATAGAAGATGAAGAAGCTGAGAAAAGGAGAGGAGAAAAGGATGTGAAAAGAGATGCTTCTATAACTACTAACTCCTTATGCTCAATTGTCTAGTCTTTATACAAATAATAATAATGTTGAGGGAACAAGAAAAAGCAATTATGAGTTTTTTGAACAGACACTGGCAAAGAAGGAGCAATGCTAGTAGGAGAAAAGAAATCTATAAGCATCATACTGCGATTTGCAGTGCTTTAACTGTACTCACTTGCCTCTTCCAGGCCTTAAAAAGACTTCCTAATTTCAGCCTTGAACTGGAGAGGTGTATGAAATCAATTCCAGCATCACCAGCCTGATGAGATAAAGAAAAATAGTTACAATTATCTATCTTTCTACTGACAGAACAGAATCAGATAGTCTTATATTCTGTAGTTAATTCTTGATTTTCATGTGACAATGACAGCGTTGGTGGAAATATAAAAGGAGTATTTTTTCTTTTCGTCATACAATTTAATAAAACATTTTTGTATCAAAGAAAGGAAGAACTTCCTCTCATGACTCTCATAAACCTCATGGTGTAATATGATCAATAATGCTTAATATAGCCAAAAATGAGGTTTCATTGTTTTAGGTATTATACAAACACAGAGTAGGAAGCAGTCCCTACCCAAAAAAGCTGATAATTTAAACAGCAAGACAGACACAGAGGCCAGAAAAGGTTATAACCAGGGATCCTGGTTTTCTCTGATTTAAAAAAATCCCCAATCTTTGGTTTAAAAAAAAAGTAACCCCAAATCCACATTTTCCCATGATTTAAATGAAACATCACTAATATATAAATATACATAGTGGTGTTTTATTTTAATCATGGAAAAATGTGGATTTAGGGTTACTTTTTTTAACTGAAAATTGGGGATTTTTTTTAAATCAGAGAAAACCAGGGTCCTTGGTTATAACAGATAGAAAGAGTGAAAAGTGTCACTGCATCACAGTTCCTGTTAATGCCACTTCTCCTATTGGTATGGGATTAGTTCTGGAGCAGGTAACAGGGTATAAGGTAAACGGAAAATGAACTGGAGGAGTGCATTAAGAGGCACAAGCATGGAATGATGCTAAGGAAAACAGACTGTAAGGGAAAAAAGGTTGGAGCAAATGGCTAATCAGTATAGGGCAGAGCAAGTCCAATCAAAATGGCAGAAAATTTCTCTGTCTGAAGGTCCCTGCTTTGGTTGCATCTGTATCTGCTCCTACCAGCTAGAGTCTCTGGCTGGCTTTTCTCTACAGTTTTTCTCAAGTTCACATGGCAGCTGCAAGCACCTGGGGATCCTGGCTTTCCACATAGAGATATTTCCTAGATCGTTCTGAGTCCAGACAGGTGCATAGAAAGAAGAGTGTCCCCATTTCCCTGCCCTGGTTTATCAGTCCCTGTTTTGGCTGTTTCTGAATATGACTGTAAAAGGTCAAATATTGATGCCCTTTTCTTGCAGAAGATAGTCTATAAAACTTGGAAAAGACAGAAGAACTAATCAGAACTTCCACTGGAGATATGAATAAGTATTCTGATTATCAGTTACCCACTTTAGATTTGTTGTTTTCCCTAAGGTTAAACAAAAGCATTGCTAAACTACGAGTTTTTTTAATGGCTCCCTGTCAAACATTGATCAAGCATTTAAAACTTGAGGAACTTGGTACATAAAATCCTGTCACCAAGAACAGGGAGAAAGATCTGGAAGAGGAGAGAGTCGTTGGAAATCTCTACAGTGGCATATAGGACGAGGAAGAGCAGCAAGGTTAGGTTTTTCCAGACAAGCCTGGGGAGGGACAAATACATGGTGCAACCTATACCTCAAGGGCAAATACCTGTAATTTGATAAGTATTTGTGAACTCCTAACACAAGGGGAGACAATCACCTCAACTACCAAAAGGGGATTATGGAGATCTAAGGGAGAGCCTAAAAAATTGCTAAGGAATAGAAAAAAAAAATCAACACTAAAAAAGAAAATGTAGGTAGGAGATTCCCATATAATTTATGGGATATATATTTTATGATAATGTAACAGTATTCAACCAGAAAAGGAAGCATCCTTTTCACTCCCCTGCTTCACAGTTGCATGATATAGCTGCCTCTAATTTCATGTTCTTTTACCTTTTAGGGCCTTGTGCATCTAAAGCACAGGCAGAACCATAGGTAACTGGTATCACTACAACCATGATCTTTCATCTACTGACATGCACCAATACCTCTACAACTCTTGTTTCCCATACAAGTTTAAATGGAAAATTTTCAGGCAAATCATTTTTCTTGGTTGTATCCTATTAACAATCAAATGTTTTATTTCAGCAAAAGATGAAGAGCAACACAATTAAATTATAAAATATCAAATCCTATATAAGAAAGTAAACAAGATTTTGGTGAGATACAGTTGTTCTATATAGAGGGAAACTAAACATTCAAGTTCACTTCAGCAGGAAAACCATCACAACTGCAGATCTTCATAATTACAATTCATTATTAGAACTTTTGTTTTCATATCACCGCTGTTAGTACTTTTACAGTTCTTCCTAAATCACCACTCCTTGGTGGTGGTGGTGCCAGTCCCTCGATTCAAGGTTACTCTCTGCCACAGCTCATTGATGCATCTTGAGGCAACTTAAGAGTTCCATCCTCGAGCCACAGATCCATTCACAGCAGTTGCAGGCCTTTCCACAGGGGAAAGCAGGCTACAGGCTGGGATTCCTCTCCTTTTCTTTCCTCTGCTCTCTCTTCGCTGCTTTGAGGGCAAGTCACTCTACCTGGAAATGAGCTACCACTTGCTTGAGGTAGTGACAGCATTTGGTTGTGCCAACATATTCTATCCCAGGGCTCATGCATGTCAATTAGTGGCACACGGGGACATTTTCCTCTGCATGCCAGGCGTGCAAAAAAATTGTTAAAAAGAAAATTGTTTTATGTTGATGCTTTGGGCTCTCCAGACCAGCCAGAGATCCCAGCACCATGGTAGGCATGGGGGATGGAGTCAGGAGAACACAGGCAGGACTGCTGTTTGCATTCTGCTGACCCCGCCTCCTGTCACCAGGCTGTGCCCTCTAATCTGGCCCAGCCCTTGGAGGGGAGCTGCAGGTGGGCAAGGCCAGGGCCTAGGCAGGCACTGCAGAGGGCTGCTGTGTTGGAGGCTCCTGGCCAGTTTGACCGTGAACACTACCTGTGGCAGCAGTTCTCAGAGCCCAGGGGCTTCTGCAACTAGGCCCCATGGCCGGGCCCTTGCACCAGCAGTGGCTCTGCCCTGCTCATGCTGCTCTTCTCTTTTTTCTTTCCTGTTCTTTCTTTTTTCTCTTTCTCTCTCCTCTCCTTCTCTCTTCTTCTCCTTTTTCTCTTTCCTTTTTTCTTTCTTTCCCTCTTTCTCTTTTCTCATCTCTTTTTTCTCTTTTTCTCTCCCTTTTTCTTTTTTTTTTTCCTCTTCTTTCTTGTCCTCTCTCCTCTTTTTCTATTTCTTCTTTTTCTTTCTTTTTATCATTATTTTTCTCGCTCTTTTCTGTCTCTTTTAAGCATGTTTTACAAACATTAGAAACATACAATTTGTTACACATTAAGAAAACATACTTAACAAATGAGCCATGTTGCCATAAAAACTGGTATTTACTGTGAAAAGAAAAGCAGTATTTATTATTATTTACTCTATTAATAATGCAGTGCATCCTGCCATGTACCCACCACCCCAGTTCCGTATTTCTGGCATGCCAGTACTTCAGCACCTTACACAGTAGACATTGCAGTTTTTTTGGTATTCTGGCCAAAAACATTGCCTACCCCCATTCTATCCCTTCATATGTGGCAGTTTATCCTCAACCTGATTATTGACAATGCTTAAAATTTAATATCTGTTCTGTTCTTTGAGGCTGAGAAATCCATTTTAGCTCAACTCCCAGATAATTCTCTTTACAACTTTAAATATGGTTAATAGGAAGTTGCATTCAGAAGCATAGATAGTTGTATTTTAATATAATGTTGCAAGAAATATTTTCTCAGGCACGATTCAACAGATTTTACTCACACAAGTAGCCCCCTAAATGAGGGGACAGTTCTAATGAACTGGAAAGCTTCTCACTTTTATGAGGACTACAGGTGTTGGCAGCTCCAGAATCCCATGAACTTTTCACCTGTCACTTCTAACAACAAAAGTTTGGGTGATTTTTTTAAAATTACATAAGGTCAAGGAAAGGAAGCGTAACCTGCATTGGTTGACAATTAATTAGATTTATTATAAGAACATCGGGGAAATCAGAATAGACCATTAAGTAAATTCTTGTTATATAAAGATGGTAAGTCTTATAAACTAGAATGAATAAGTTATGTTTGTTAGCCTAGCACAGAGAGAAGTTCAGCCCTAATCCTACAACTTGTTCAGATGGGTAGACCTCTTGTCACTTTTGACATCCTAACTCATCTTACTTGCTACATGTGTAGTTCCATGTTCCGTCATGTGGAACAAGGTAATACATAATACAAACAGAAATGGAAGTATTAATTTTTCAATTAGTCATTGTTAGGGTTGTTCTAAAAACGTGTAAAAGTAATTCAAATTACAAAGATACAGCATCCCTTTAATATTTTTTATTCAAGTATGATGCCTGTGTTGCAAGTTCTGTGGTCTTGTGATCTCCATGACTATTGGTTTCATCTACTGTACCTGTTTTCTCATCTTAAATTTAATATTATAATTTTTCAGGGTAGGAATAATTTATGACTTTTTACAATGCCTATTTTAAGTTTCCAAGCATATTATTATCATCAGTATTATTGTTACTACTACAGTTACTATTATTATTACTTACTTTATCCCATAACTTTTATGGTATCACTGGTATCATGTGCCTGCCTATGTTGATCATCTTAGGTCTGTTAGCTGCCTTTGATACAGCTGATGAGAATGACTGTTCAGTAATGGGGATGGTTAAAGTCAAAGTGTTGTGGATGTGTTGATAGTTCGTGTATACTTTTAAGGGGAGCGTGGTTAACTGCAGTGCAAACAAAGATGAAGGTACCAGACCATGCTAGATAAGCACCTTTTGGTAATAAATTTTGCAATGCAAACCAATGTATGAGCTAGTCAACTGCTGCCGATGTGTCCTTGTGTGCTTTTCCTGCCTAAGGGTACACTACTGCTGTTCAAAAAGGCCTATACCCTCCCTCACCTTGACTCTCCACTGTTGTCTATTTAGAACCATAGAAAGTTAGGGTTGGAAGGGACCTCAGGGGGTCATTTAGTCCAACCCCCATCAATTTATTGCTGAGATCTTTAAACAGCTAGCCACCATGTTGCAATCAAGCATGCCTTCTGGATATCCTCCAA